CAAACGAGTTGACTAACGTGCTTCATTCATGCATCCATTCATTCATACGTCCTCGTAGACAAGTTTCAAGACAGGCATCCGAAAGCTACTGCATTCAGTCACCTTGCCTCAGTCGCTGCTTGTGGGGGAGGATAACATGCATTACTTCATCCTTTTGAGATGTAACCGCTTGTCTCAATAAACTTGTCGAAGGCGAAAGTCATATTCTCCTCCATCTCCCGCCTCTGCCTCCTCCTTCTTCTTCTTCTTCTTCTTCTTCTTCTTCTTCTTCTTCCACCACATCCCCCTTCTCCTCCTCCTCTTCGCCGCCGTCTTTCTTTTTCATTCTCTACCCTTCTCTCCTTCTCACGCTTCAGAAAGTTTGTTTAGGTCGGGCCAAATTTCCCCCTACTCTCTCCTCCTTCTATTAAGTGTAAAATATTTACCATATCGAGAAACCACTGATTATCATGTCATAAAATTGAGAAGAGAAGAGAAGAGAAGATAGAGATTTATTTGCCTGTTTTGTCCAGTCGAATTATCATTTTTGGGTTCGGAAGCCTGAGACATTGTCTGTCTAAGCACTGCATGAATATGAAATTGCTCGTGTGTCCACTTGTATCTCTATCTATCTTTATATCTGTCTCCGCCTCGTACTCGCCCTCATATTTCAATATGCGAAGCAAAGCACATAACGTTTACATACAATCCCGTTGCAGACGTCCCTCAGAGCTCTTCTCTTCTCCCTCCGCGCCACTCTATCTCCTCCTCCTCCTCCTCCTCCTCCTCCTCCTCCTCCTCCTCCTCCTCCTCCTCTTGTGTTTCGTCTTCTCCATATCCTCATGTCCTCCTCTTTTTCTCTGCTAACCCACATTCCCTTCTTTCTCCCTGTCCCTTTTCCTCTCCCCTCTCCTTTTTCCCTCCCTTCCTCTCCCCTATCCGCTATCTCCATTCTCCCTTTCCCCTCCCTCCATTCCTCGCTTCCTCCTTTCACGCTCCCTTCCCCTTCCCTATCCCCTTCCCTATCTCCATTCTCCCTTTCCCCTCCCTCCATTCCTCTCTTCCTCCTTCTATCCCCCTCCTCCTCCTCCTCCCCCTCCTTCTTCCCTCCCCCTCCTCCCCCGCCACATCGTCCATGGATACCGACGTACACTCCCGACTATGCGAAGTCGTCGGGTCTCTCTCCCTCTTTTTCCCCCCTTGATAATCTCTCGGGACGTGACATTCTTGGCGAGCGGGAACGCCGTGTCGGTCGGTCGGCTGGTCGGTGGGTCGGTCGGTCTGTCGGTCTGTCGGTCTGTGTGTCGGTGTAAGAAGTCGCCCGCTACCTACCTAGCGCCCTGCCCTCTTCGCGCCTGTTTGTGTTTTGCTCCCCAAGGGAAGGGCAGCTGTACTTCGTCTGGGTACTGGGCATGGCGGGGTCCCGATGCTGCTGTAATGACTCCTGGTGGTGCTGTTTATGCTGCTGCTGTTCCCGCTGTTGCTGTTGCTGAATTTGCTGTTGTTTTTACGGCTGCTGCTGTCGCCTCTGTCGCTTCTGCACGTGTTTACTTTGGCACCGTGTAGTGGTGCTTAGGTATGTCGGGATTCATTCTCACTCTTTCTCCATTTCTCTTTCGTTCCCCATCTCTTCCTCCTTTGTTGTCTCTTCCTTCTCCTGTTGTCTTTCTGCCTCCCCACCTCCCCTTCTTATTCTTTCTCCCCTTCTCCTCCTTTCTCCCTCTCTCGCTCTGCCCACCATCTTCCTCTCCCTCCGTCTCCTTCAACCCCTTCTCTCCATTCTCATCCCCCACCCCCATCTCCTCTTCCACCCCCTCTCCCTTCTCCTCCACCCCCTCTCCCTTCTCCTCCACCCCCTCTCCCTTCTCCTCCCACCTCCCTCCTCCCTGCTCTCTTTCTCCCTCGTTTTTCGTGCCCTGTTCCGTCCTCATGATATCCACGTGATGGGAACTTCAGTCGTACCCACGCCCAGCAGACACAATTACTCGTCGTCTTCGGTGCCCTCTGTGTGGGTGTGCGTGTGTGTGGGTGTGTGTATGTGTGCGGGGAGAGAGAGAGTGAGCGAGCGAGTGAGTGTGTGACTGAGTGTGGGTGGGGAGGGGGTGAGAGAGAGAGAGAGAGAGAGAGAGAGAGAGAGAGAGAGAGAGACAAAGGGGGAAAAGGAGAAATGGGAGAATTGGGAAGAAAGAGAAAAATGAGAGGATTGAGAAGAAAGAGAGGGGAGGAGACAGTGTATGGGAAGTTTCTGCGTTTCTTGGAAAGTGCGGCAAGTGTCCTTGGGAATAAAACGAACCAGATGATGAATAAATTGAATTTGATTTATTCTGCTATGGTGGCGGCAGCGGCGACTCGGGGAGGAGGCCTGAAAGAGGTGTGGGAGGGTGACTGACCCTCCCCCGCTCCACCATCACGTCTTCCTTTCCCTCTCTCCTCCTTCTCCTCCTCCTCCTCCTCCTCCTCCTCCTCCTCCTCCTCCGTCTCCTCCTACTCCTCCTCCTACTCCTACTATTACTCCCGATATCGACAACACTGCAGCCTCCTTCGTTTTCCTTCTACCTCCTCCTTCATTCTAACTCTTATCATTATATTCTCTCACCTCTTCCATCTCTTCTTCTCTCTCCTCCTCCTCTTCTCCTGTTCCTCTTGTCACCCTTCCTCCACCCTTTGCCCTCCTGCATCCTGCACGTTTTATCTCCCTTTTTTCTTCCTTGTATTTTCCCACTTCCCTCCTTCTCCCTCGACGGTGTTGTGACGTCATAGACACTGTAGTCTGTAATTGGTGGCGGCGACTTTCACGTCTATGGGGAGCTTATCGCCTGCCAGCTTCACCGCCTCTTCTCTTCGTATGGCTTTTTATTTAGTTAATTCATTCATTTATTTATTCGTTTATTTATTTTATTGTGTGTGTGTGTGTGTGTGTGTGTGTGTGTGTGTGTGTGTGTGTGTGTAATTCTCCTCGTTTTCCCTAATCGTCCCTGGGAGTGTTTTCATTTTAGGGTTCTTCGTGGAACTCGTCAGTATGTGGATATTGAGGGGTATGGGAAGGAAAGAAGGAGGAGGAGGGAGGGAGACAGACGGATAAGAAGACAGGTGGAAAGACATACAGACATGTAATGACAGAGGGGGTGGGGCGCAGACAGACAGACAGTCAGAACTGATCGCTGAGGGAGAATGCAGAGGGAGCGCCGAACAGAAATGAACGCGAATATAGAGAAAGAGAAAGAGATAAAGAAGGGATGGGAAGATTGAAGAAAGCATTATGGGTCGGGCGCTGGTCTATGGTAGCGGATGGCATGAGTAAGCAAGTGCGGCGACGGCGGCGGCAGCGAGGCCTGGGCACCTTGGGCACGGTGCCACGCCGATGGCCCGCTCGACTTACCTTGTGTGTGTGTTGGCACTGGCGCCGCCCGAGTTCCTCTCTCGCGGATTCTCTCTCCTCAAGATCGTAAACATTGCGCACATATTGGCGGCCTCTCTTGCTCGTCCGCCCGCCCACTCCGGCGGCCGCGCGCCCTCCGCCCGCTGCCCGGTCCCGCTCCTCGCCGTTATTATCCACTCTCTCTCGTTCTTCCTCTTCCGAGCTTGGCTTGGGGTTGCGGGAGGGGCTGGCTTTGCTTTTTTTTTTGGCTTTGTTCCTGTGTCTGTTTCTCGGGGGGTTGTGTTTTTCTCCCCCCCCCCTCTCTCTCTCTCTTTCTCTCTCTCTCTCTCTCTCTCTCTCTCTCTCTCTCTCTCTCTCTCTCTCTCTCTCTCTCTCTCTCTCTCTCTCTCTCTCTCTCTCTCTCTCTCTCTTACACACACACACACACACACACACACACACACACACATCATTATCAGAAATGTAACCCTTCAGATTTGTAGCTGAAATTGTTCTGAATTACGCCATGCAAGGTGACTCCTTCGCCAGTGAGAGACCGAAGGAGGAAGAAAGATGGGCAGAGGGAGAAAATAAATGAGAGTGGAATATCCCAGTACCGTGAAAGCAGAAGCAAAGATAGAGACGCACAAAGAACAATAAAAAAGGAAGGGACCAGAAAGAATAGGAAATAAAGGGAAAGGTGGAACATAACAGAATAAGGGAGGGACGGAAGTAAACAAGAATAAAAGGGTTGGAAAAAAAATAGGAGAGTTGGAAGAAAACAAAATAAAAGAGATGTGTAAAGATAAAATAAAAAAAAATGAAAGGGTTGAAAAAGTAAATGAGTTGGAAGCAAACAAAATAAAAGAGAGTTGGAGGAAATAGAGAAATAAAAAGGGTTGGAAGAAAGAAAATAAAAGAGACGGAAGAAGTCAATAAAAGAAGAAGGAAGAACAGAAAAAAAACAATAAAAAAGAGAATTGGAGGAAGGCGCAATAATAAAAAAGGGTTGGATATCACGGCTGTATCGGGTTCTCCTGCCGGCGGCGCGACAGAAGGAGTTCGCTCGTTTTGTCGGCGGCGAAGGTAACCGAGCGCGCCTTGTTATGCCGTGTTTACATATTATTATCCCTCGCTCCCCGGCCATTACGGGGATATTCAACTCTTTTATCTATTTTTGCAACCCTCTCTTTCCTCTTCCTCTCTGTTCTTTTCTTTTATTTTGCGTTTGGGTTTTTCGGTTTTGGGTTTGGTTGAATGTGTTTTTTTTTTGTTGTTGTTGTTTTTTTTTCTTCTTCTTCTTTTCTTTTTTCCTATTCGTGCTGTTGTCTTATTTGATATTTTATTTTAGTCTTATTTTAGTTTTTATCTTAGTACTACTGGTGTTGATGTTCTATTATGATGAGTTGTGTTGTTAATATTATTATTATTATTATTAACATTATTATTATTATTGCTATTATTATTATTATTATTATTAATACCATCATCATTACTATTATTATTATTATCTTTATTATTATCGTTATAATTGTTATTCTTATCGCCCTTATTTTATTATCATCATCATCATTATTACTCTTATTATTTCATTACTGTTACTGTTATTGTTTTCTCACTCGGCATTCGTTCTTCCTCCAACAGGTGAGCGCCTTTGATAAGCTGCTGCGTGTTTGTGCGTCCGTGCGTTCTCCCGTTGCCGCTCAGGGACCTCCTCCGCCCGTGTAGGTGAGTGGACTTTGTGGGGGTGGGGAGGGGAAGGGGAAGGGGAAGGGGAAGGGGGTAGGTGTGGAAGCGATTATCCAGTTCCTTAATGTGGAATGGAGTAATGAGAGGGGGGGGAGGGTGTTATTTAATGGTCTTTTGAGTCCTGTTGGTGTTTTTGTTTTTGTTTTTCTTCAAATGCTTATGGTTTTTTCTTTCTTTCTTCTCTTCTTCCTTCTCCTCCTCCTTTTCCGCTTCTTTTTCAGCATCACCCTCCCCCCCCCATTTTTTTTCTTTTTGTGCTTTCTCATTTTCTCCCCCCCCCTCTTCCCATTTTCTTCTTCCTCCTTTTTCTTTTCCTTCTCCCCTCCCCATAACCCCCCTGGTCCTCCTCATTTCCCTCCGTTGCCTCTGTTCCCCATGTCTTCATTCATTATTATCCATTAATTTCCTTTATATATCTATATATAATTTATATATATATATTTTTTTTATACCTATATATATATTATATAGATTATATATATATATATATATATATATATATATATATATATATATATATATATATATATATATATATATGTATATTATATATTATATATAAAAAATATATATTATATATAGATTTTATATATATATATATATATATATATATATATATATATATATATATATATATATATATATATATATATGTATATTATATATTATATATAAAAAATATATATTATATATAGATTTTATATATATATATATATATATATATATATATATATATATATATATATATATATATATGTATATTATATATTATATATAAAAAATATATATTATATATAGATTTTATATATATATATATATATATATATATATATATATATATATATATATATATATATATATATATATATATATATGTATATTATATATTATATATAAAAAATATATATTATATATAGATTTTATATATATATATATATATATATATATATATATATATATATATATATATTATATATTATATATAAAAAATATATATTATATATAGATTTTATATATATATAAATTATATAAATAATATATGTAATAAATATCAATATTAGTTATTGGCCGTTTTCTGTTATGCCAGCCCCCCATTTTCATCGCCTTTATTCATAATTGCACAATCATTCCCTTGTGTTTTATATAGTCACCGGCCGTTTTCTATTCCCGCTGAGGTTTCGGGTCTCGCCGTGGCAACAACAGGACGGTTGAGGGCGACGTGTTGTTGACGTGACGTGATGTGATGATTAGGGGGAGGGGAGGGGGGGAAGGGGGGGGTAGGGAGAGGGTGAGAGGGGGTAAGAAGAGGGTGGGAGGGAGATCGGAGGGGGTGGGGGAATGGGGGGGAAGAAGTGGGGTGCAAAAGAGGAGGAATGGAGGGAGAGGGGGGGAAGGGCGAAGGATAGAGAAAGGGAGAGGAGGAATAGAGGGGTTGGAAGAGGGAAGAATAGAGGAAGGGGTGGAAAGGAATAGAAGAAGAGGAGGGGGGAGGGGAGGTGGACAGGGAAGGAAGAAGGAGTTGGTGGAGGGGGTGAAGGGGGAAGAGATGTGGATGGGGAGGAAGGGGAAGGTGGGATATGGGAGAGAAGAGAAGAAAAGGTGATAACATGGAAAGCGAAGAGGAAGTAGCTGTAGTCTCGTAGCCTTGTAGTCTTGTAGCCTTTGTCCTTGGTTCATGGTAAGGGGTAAGGAGGGGGAGGTAGAAGGAAGGGAAGGAGGAGGAGAGGAGGTAGATGGAAGGGGGAGAGGGAGAGAAGGAAGGAAGGGGCTGTAGAAGGAAGGGTAGGAGGAGGGGAGAAAGGGGGAAGAGAGGAGATAGATGGAAGGGGGAGAAGGGAGAAGGGGAAGGAAGGGGGGAGGAGGTAGAAGGAAGGGGAGTTTTTGTTGTGTTAGGGAAACGTGAAGGATCCTACCGCGGCTAAAGTGTTGTATCTTTACGCCGTAGGGTGCGTGGGTGGAGGGAGGGAAGGTGGGGGGGGGAGAAGTGGAGGGAGGGGGAAGGCATCCTGGGGGAGGTCGTTGAATGGGAGGGACTACAGAGGGAGGCAGGAAAAGAAAGGAAAAACAGTGGCAGATCCTGTGGGGATAGTGGGGGTGAGGGGGGGGTAGAATTAACAGTGCGGGGAGCGACTTGGACTGTGAATCAGATAGATCGATAGACATGCTAAGCCATACTAGCCCTTGCTAATTTCCACCAGTAGGCACACTGGACAAGATAGATAGCAAGATAGGGCAGGGTATAGCAGAGCAAAGGACGGTAGGATAGGGTAGCCCAGGGTAGAGCAAAGCGGGACAGGATAGGATAGGGCAGGGAATACTAGCCCAAAGCAATCCAGGGTAGGACATAGGGCATAGGGCATAGCAGAGCACAGGAGGGCAGGGAAAAAGCAAAACAAGACCAAGAGCACATGGCAAACCAGAGCCAATGAGGACGAAGTAAGGCATGGCAGATCCACGATAAGGCTGAACAGGACAGGTTGTAAGGCGGGCAGGGCAGGGCGCATCTCGGCAGGGCAGGGCAGGGCAGACTAAAGCAGACAGCGTTACGGGAGGCCGGACACCTTCCGCGAGCCAGCCAGGTGTTAATGGCTCGGCTCACAGAACGAGTTTATTGATAAAATCGCCTCAATTAAGTGGCGGGAGACGGCGGGCGCGGAGGAGGTAATCGGGTTACGGTTTACTTGGTTTCGCTGATTTTTTCCCCCTTGTTCACTGTTTTCCTTTTTTTCCTGTTTTTTTTTTAGTTCTTTGTCTTGTTTTCCTTTCTATGGTTCTTATTTTTTGTGGGTTTTGCGTTGGTATTGTTGGTATTGCTGTTGCTGTCATTATTGCGATTATTTTTATAAGTATTATTATCATCATATTATTTTTGTTATTATTATTGTTGTTGTTATTTATTATTATTATTATTATTATTGTTATTGTTATTATTATTATTATTGTTATTATTATTATTATTGTTATTATTATTATTATTATTGTTATTATTATTGTTATTATTATTATTATCATTGTTATTGATTATTGATGATTAATTGTCATGTTGTTAGAATATCGTTTTGCGAGTCTCGGAGGAGAGGGGGGAAGGTTGTAATATTATTTATAAGCATTTTGAGTTTTGGTAAGTTGCACTGGTTTATGGCGATGGGATTTTCGTTATGTGATTGTTGTTGTTTTTTTGTTTTGTTTTGTTTTGTTTGGTATTGCGTTTGTTCTATATTATGGGTCGATGTTTGATGCCACAGAGAGAGTTACTGACTGACTGGCTATATGGCTGACTGAGGGACTGACTGACTGAAGGACGGATGGACGGACTAGAGGGGGGGGGGGGTTCTTACATCCTGGTTAATGATAAAAATAGATTGTTTGAAATGTGTTTCTGTATCGTTGTTGTTGTTTTTTATTTCCTTTATCTATCTTTTCTACTTTACCTTTCTCCATCTTTCTCTCTCTCTCTTTCTCTTTCTCTTTCACTCTTTCTTTTTCTCTCTACTTCCCATCTTGCGTTCCCTCCCTTCTTCCCTCCCTCTCTCTATTTATCCTTCCTCCCCTTTCTTCCTCATCCGCCTTTCTTTCTTCCATCCCTCTTCTCCCCCTTCATTCCTCTATCCTTTCATTTATCCCCTCTCATTATCTTCCCTTCTTCCCTCCCTCTCCCCCCTCCCCTTCTTCCTTTCCTTCCTCCCTCCTCTCTTCTCTCTCATCCACCCTCCCTCCCTCCTCTTCCCTCAATTCCTCACTCCCTCCTTCCCTCCTTCCCTCCCTCCCCCACCCTTTCTAAACCCCATTCTCCTTCTGCCTCTCCCTCTTCCTGGCATTGCGTGCGTGCGTGCGTACGTGCGAGCGAGCGAGCTGCGTCCCTCGTCCTCGCCGCCGGAGCTAATTCAGCGGCGTCTCGGCGAGGACACGCTCGGCTCTGCGCGGAGGCGGCGTCCGGCGTGCACGGAGGTCGTCCTCGAGGATTAGCCGTCGTCCCTCTGCTTCTCCACTCGTCTCGGTTGCGTTCCCTGAGGCTCGTTCTCCACCGTCTCGTCCTTCCTTGTGTTTATTTTTTGTTCCTGTCGCGTCTTGTTTGGCTCGTTCTGGTTTTCCCCTTCGGATTCTGTTCGTGTCCGTTGTCTCTTCTTGTGTTTATTCTCGTTGTCCGTCCTTACTCTGTTCGCTTTCATTCTCACTATTTATCCTGTTCGCGTTCGTTGTCTCTTCGTATGGTGTTTATTCTCGTTGCCCGTTATTCCTCTGTTCGTTTTCGTCGTCCCTTCTTATTGCGTTCGTTCCCACCGCCTTTGCTTCTCGTTCGCTTCGTCTTTCCTCGGTTTTACTTGACTCTTGCTAAGGATTCCGGCAGTTGCCTTTCACCGTCCCTTCTGATGGTTTCCTGTTGCCTCTTGTTCTCATTCTGTTTCTAATTCTTTTTTCTCGTTCCTCCTCCTATCCTTCTCTCTCTTGCTCCTCTTCCCTCGTCTCTCCATCCTTTCTACCTTTTTTCCTTCCTTTTATTCTTCCCTTCCTTTCTTCCTTCCTTCCTTCATACCTTCTTTCCTTCTTTTTTTCTTTCTTTTTCTTCTCTTAAACATCCTCTACCCCCCCCCCCCCCCAATTCCCACCCCCCTTTTCCCCTTACCAGTATCCACTCTCTCCTTCGTTCTTGGGCTTTTATCATCATCTACTTCATTTTTTTTATCATCATTATTTTTCAGAGGACGACGTGGAATGGGTTCGGTTTTTGATACTCCTGTCTCTTTTATCTTTATTTTTTTCTTCCTCCCCTTTCTACCTGTCGTCGCTTTCGTTGTTCGCCTCGTCTTTTGTGTTTCCCTAGAAAGAATTGCTCTTCCTCCTCCTTCTTCTTCCTTCCTCCTCCTCCTCCTCCTCCTCCTCCTCCTCCTCCTCCTCCTCCTCTGGTTTCTCCTTCTTCTTCATCTCCTCTTTTTGCTCCTTCCCAACTTCTCTTGTTGTTCGTCCTCTTCCTTCCCTTC